GGAGCTCCTGAATACATTTTCCCGTAACTTGTGTTTATGCGGCTACATGCTCCTCACAATGTTTGACTAATAAACCATGTAAGAAGCAAGCTAGAAATTTATGATTCCATTCTTTTTGCATTTGAGTTTCATGCTCCTCACGCAAAGTGTCATTTGACTCCTACGGGTTCCACCAATTCCCTCTACTTACACTTCGTAAGTTGCTATGGATTTTGCTAAGCAAATTCCGAACTGTAGCGCCATTCGCTCAAATTTTCTGGGGAAAAGGCCGGATGAGCTCTAAGCGAATTTTTTAGGCGTAGCACTGGTTATGCGCTATGGGGTGTTTTCTAAAATAACAAATTCTCATAAAAAGTGTCCTTATGAAGGCACCTCAGCTAGCTTTGTATGGAGACGTCTTATATATTTGCACCACTTCACAAATGTAAACTTTTCCATAAATTCGTGTCCTCTCCGACTCCCGACCTCTGCCCCCCCCCCTCATTGCCGGTTATGTGCATACGCAAATATAAGTTCTCTGGCACTAAGGAACCAATTTTGTACCAAGGACGGGTGAGCGAAAAAAGGACACAAATAACAGTTTCGCATACTTTGTGCGCTGTTACAGTCTATGGGGAATCATGCACTTGCGGTCACCTGCCTAACAGATGGTTGGTGTTCAGATTCATTTCCATGTTCTCAAAAGTAATTTTTGTACTTCTAAACAATATCACCCGTTCTTGTATTAATAGTTTTTAATGATTCAACTTCAGAGTAACGATCATGCTAAGGTGTACGAGAAGAGTAGGAAGTGGTGGAGGGTAGGGGGCTTATTTTCTTGTGTAACGGCTTATTTTTCCCCAAGTATTGTGTTTATTCTCTGGGATCAACGATCTGGATCTTTTGTGCTGATTCTTGTCGCAATCTTGTTATGTCACTCCACAACAGATGCTATCTAATTTCTTATTCTTTTGACCGTCTAGATGGATTAGTTCAAGTGGTATTACAATGTATAATAAGTGTTTGCCAAATACATGCAAATATTTGCCGCGGATGCACTTTTTGATGGTCTTCCTAATACCATCCGCCAAATATTTGAGAATATTCGTTTCTAACAGAAAATTCATTCCAATCTTCACATATTAACCACTTCTGCCGGAAAGCTATGTCACAATTTTCTCATTTGAGCTGTGTAAAACACATTTCCATCTATTCCCTCCAGTTTCCTGTAAAAAAAAACAGCTCACTAATCTCTTCTAAATTTACTAAATGGATTCTTCATCAACAAAATCCCATTTTGCAAAATTAAAATGCATCATTCTTCATGCAATTGCTTATGCTCTGTTCATGAGTTTTTAAACTGTTTGATCGACAGAGCGAGGCTAAATGCAAAAATTCATTGGATTTTCTCTAAAAAAATTAAAAAAATCAAAAAATTTCAAAAGTTGAAATCAAGAAATTAAATTCAAAATTCAGGAGTGGTAGTAATATGATCGAAACCAACGAATGATGTGATGGTTCGATCATGATAATATCGTGGTAAGCATGATCATCTTCTTTACGGCCATTCAGTTCAATCGGTCATACAAAATTATGAAACATGCAAGTTACTTTCGGAAAACCATGCTTGTTTCATGTTGTTTCATTCTAAACCAAACTATGAATTAATCAGCAAGTTAACAACATTGTTTCCTTATTAGGTAGAGTAAAGAAAACAGCATTTTATTTCTTGAGACGCAGACGTGAAACCACCATATCATAGTTCAAAATGAAAAAGTACCTCCGACCACTTTTTCGTTTAAAACCATGATGTGCTGGTTTTGCAAGTTAAGAAGAGTGAGGGAAATCATTCTGCAACTTACTATGAGTAAGCTTACTTGTTTACAGCTTAGATAAGGTTATAGGAAGGTGCAAAGGTGGAGACCGAACTGCAAATTTGGTAAAGTGCAATGATTGCCGACAAGCACTAGAATGGTTGGAGTTTCGATCTCCTCCAATGACTTTGCTTTGCAAGATAGCATTTCGAGGTTTCCTATTGGTTAATTCGTGGTTTCGTTGAAAAAATGATGTGAAGCTGCTGGTTAGCTGGTGTCATGAAAACACAGTTAACATGATGGTTTCGACCAAATTACTACCACTCCAGCAAATTTCAAATTACAATCAGTTCAACAAATCATTCGAATTTGCTCTCCGTCAAACTATAAATGTTGGATGCCTAGTTAAGTGTGCTTGAATTTGTTGTAGATATCTTATTTGTGTTGTTTATATCTATCATAAGTTTGCGCACATAACTAAATATGCGAGATTCTTTTTTTGTGAACCTGGTTTGAGATTTTTGACACTTTTCGGTGTATGTTGTGTGTCACACGCTATTCTCTAAATGATTTTGTTGTTCTTGATATGTTTTTTTTCCGAATGACAGTCATTTATATGATTTCTGAACCCTAATTTGCTATTCTATTGTGCTTTGATCGGAAGTGCGGTTTCACTGCTTATCAGAATGTAGGTGATTTGCGGCAAGAAACAATGCAATAAACATAGGCAATCTGCAGTTTTGCTGTCACTGATAATTCTCATGTGCGAAGGTATAATCAAAGAAAGACACACCTTTTTATGTGTACTAAGTTATCATAAGTTTGCTACAAAAATGATTGGCAAAAAAAGGAAACAAGTGATATTTTTGAAGTGACTGGCTCGAATTGTTTTTTACTGAGTCATTGCCCCATTCAGTAGTTTCTGTCTGTGAGTCAGAAAGGGTATAGCTTAGTGCCTCATTTTGCATAGGCGATCGAACCTTGACCTTTGTTATCGTACATATCATCAGTGTTACAGAAGATACCCCTATGACTCTGAGTTGGTCAATCCCTTCTTGCTCGTTTACATATGCTAGTAAAAATATCTCAGTTATTTGGCGGACTTAGGAATCCTCTATGGAATCTGTAGGAGCATTCATCCATACATGTTAGACCAAAAGAATCTGAAATTTTCCAGTACAAAGTGATAGCCATGGTTTCTCCATATCTTTCAAAAAAGCTGCTCGAATATCTATTACAAAAACTCTGGCTCTGTAGTAATAGTTTGGCATCAAAGCCACACTTCTTTCAAATTTGGAATTCACAACATGGATTGCAGTTCCATGAATACTGGACAAATACGCAAAATTGCTCTGATCTGCAAGGTATAAATTTTCCCAGCAATACCATGGATTCTCAGGTTTTTTAAAGAATCAAATCAGCTAAGTCATAGGGCGCCAGAATCTACTTTCATTACAGTTATATACTCCTGAACCACTTGCTGACACTCATTGTAAATATCGCTAGATGTGGCTATACGCGGCGAAACCACGACGCCCATAAAAATGTCGTTTTTGCGTGAAATCGTGGCTAACACTTGAGTGACTCACAATGTCGCACTATAGCCACAAAGCGCAAATTTTCTTTGGTACAAAAGCCTTGCGAAATCTATTCAATCTACCATAGCCTCCACGAACCATGTTTTACTATTTTTTTCAGGACCGTCGTCCTTTTCATATGAATTTCTATGTGTTTGCCTATTCTGCTGAAACTCCAGTACTGACATTCAATAACCTTCTTTTTCTAGAAAGTTCTGAATCCATTATGTGAAATTATATGACATCATTACCGTATTCTCCTTGTTGGCAGCCTTTTTCATCTGGGACTTCGCAAAAGAGAACGGCGTTGCCAGGCCAACCACTCAAATATGAGTTATGACGTTAACGAGTGGGTACAGACAAACGCAGTTCGTTCTCGGGATACATTGTTCAATGCTCAACAATAGTTACATATGTTTAACATTTATTTATCTTGTCTTCTATTTTTTCCTTCCAATTATATATGTTGAATCTTCATTATTACTCAGTAAAGTAAAATAAAATCAAATAGGATTGAAATGAACGTTTAAAAATGTAAATTGAACTACCAGTGATTATCTTTCAACAAGCATAAAACAAGCAAAATGTGTCAGAATAGCAAACACCATTACTCCGCTTCGTTCTTTCCCTTAGACGGAGTTTTGTTCCAAAGTCTTGAGTTCACGAATTTCTGAGCCTCTCTGAGTCAAAACTTTTCAAATAATCTCAATAAAATCTGTACAGCTTCATGTATCAGTGGTATTTCAGATCTCCCAAGCATATTTTCCTTGCTGGATTTTCCCCGGAGATCTACTTTGTCTAAGCGAAGGAGCGGAACGGAGTCCCGTAACCATAGCTGTAACTATCGTTTCGAGTACTATTCTATAACTCTCCGGTCATGAAACCTGCACGCAGGTTTGCTACGATATATACTAGGCTGACGTTTCGGCAATGATGCTTTCCTCAAAGACCTGAAATAAAGCCTCACATTAGTGTTTTGCCCTATATGATCAGATGTTCCTCTTGACTAGCCTAGTTCCTGCGTGGCTCACAACAAAGTTCATGAATATTTTTTCCAGTATTATCATCTGATAATCGTATATCCCAATACCATCCATATTTGATTTTGAGTGTTCGTATTTTTGGTTTTCTAAGTTTTTTTCTCAACACTGAACTGGACCGAAATTAGTATCTGTTTATGCTTTGTTGTGCTTCAAATCCTCTCTACTCTTCATGAAAGGCTGCATTTTTTTGAGCTCATGTTACATCAACTTTTGACACCTCAGAGCGTTCAAAAATTGACACAATGATTCATTTTATGACTCAAAAAATTCCGATGACTTATTATCTGTGCCGGTATCGGCAATCTCTATGCAAACTATGGCACAGACTGTATTCTCGAGCACAAAGCACATATAAGTTCAGCAATGAATAGAAATATTTACTCACCATCGCTGTATGAGTCATTTGCTCCGCTCCTATCTTATTGCCCCTCTGCGATTATTTCGATCTTACAGAAGTATATGCTCGTTTGAACCAGTTCTTCGTGGTCTCTTTGTGCTGTTCATTTTCTCATTGATTTTCGCACTTTTTTCTTCGCATCAATTTTGTTTGATTTCATTTGTATCAGTTCAATTCCAATATATTTTGCAGTAATGGCAGACGGTGTTGAACTGGCGGCTGTAATAAGGTTGATGAAAACAGTGATGGTGCCACCGGATAAGAACTGCTCTGAACGAGTTGACACACCGTCAGCTCGGGAATTTCTTACAAGTTCGTTATGACTTTTGCATCGATTTTGAGCAAATTTCAATTCCATTAACTTCAATTCCAGATCTCGAACCCTTCCAAGTAGTTCTGCTAGTCATAGCTGCAGCTTTCACAACCGTCGTATACTTACTAGCATTTGTACATTGGTATTATGTCTACTCGTTCGTTTCAATTGAAACAAGAAGAAATAAACTTTATTGGCTGGTCACATTGTTTCCAGTAAGTTATTTCTTGATATCACTGAAGCATGGAACATCCGGCAATAATTCAGCATTATCCAGTAATTTTTATAGTTTTGATCAGAAATACGAAGTGAAAGATATTGAGGTAATCAAAAAGATTTTTTTAGAGTGAAACCATAGTTGACAAGATTGAAGCTTTTAGTTTCAAAGTTTATTTTTGCTGAAAAAATCTCAAAAGTTTGTTGAAAGGTTTTGTTACTTTTTATTGATGAAATATATTTCATACTGAGTTAAACCCCCTTGAATTTGAATACATACCTTTGTTACACCTGTCTTTGTGTAGATAATCTATCTCAACACCTCTAAATATTTGAGTATGTATTCAGTCCCATGTCCTTATGGAAGTAGTTGCACTCTAACACTTTGTTAGTTTCAGGAGGGGGGGGGGAGTGGAAAAATGTTTTTGTAAAAACTGATGTTAGCACTGACTGTCGCTTTCACACTTGAAAACTACTATTGATAATAAACCAACTAAACTTTGGTAAACGTTTTTTTTTTGCGTTTCTATGTGACTAAGAATTCCATTGAATTCGCCTAAATTCTATTGTTCACAGTTTCTGAAATTGCTTGAACGAGAAAATATCAACAAGTTAATCTTTTTTTCGGTTTTTCTTGTTTCCTCGTTTTGACGTTTGCAACGTTATATTCCTCCATCTGCTGATGTTCCTCTGATCACTTCAATTAGTGATGTGGCGTTCTCTTGCTCGATTGCGCCTTGCAGTCCATATTTGAACATAAAGTTTATTTAAAGTTATAAAGTTATACTTTTAAAGTTTATACTTTCTTAACGTTTATGCAAAGCTCGGTGCGCACAAAATCTACGATACAGAGTTAATCGTCTGTTCCAAAAAAATTCATCGTTCCCTGAAGCGAGCAAAGCCAAATGGGCCATCAATAAGTGGAATTTTTTTTTTGATTTCTTCTAATTTTTTTTCATGAGAGGCAGGGAATGTGGTAACATGGAGTAATGAACAGAAATCGTTGGATTGTCAATCAAGCGATTTTCCATATTTTTCGCATTTTCCACATGTTTATCGCAATCAAATAATTCTGAGCTAATAAGGGAAGGATACCAACATTAGTTGTCGATTGAAGATGAGATTTATATCAATTTCAAACTTGCTATCCTTTTTTGCGAATAGGTTTTCGAAACCAGTTATGAGCGTTTGAATGCCCACATTTGCCAAGATTGAGTGCTTAAAATCAACGAAAAGCTCTAGAACAATACCTATGCGACTTCGACCGGCTTTGTTCTTTCCTTACAAACAATATACTCGATACAAAACTGATTTTCCGCTTTCCGGTGTTTTTTACAGCTTTTCGCCAATTTAAGGCCACCTAAACCTTGACAAATTGGACATTCAAATGCCCATTGCTTCTTTCGAAAACTTGTTCCGCAAAAAAGTTCATTCCTTTGTAAGTAGGTTAGAACATCGGACAATGGATTCTGTATAAACAAAGTTATTCAGTATTTGGAATTTTAGGTCTCAACGGGTTGCTGTCTGATTGGAATGCTTGCACCGAGGACATCGTTAATAATGACAGCACTTGGCATTTTATACTATCTCATGTGTCTGTTCGTCATTGTATCGCTGTGCAGGTGAGCGGAGCGAAATAATTCTTGGGTAAACACACGACGACACCTATGACTTATTCCCAGGCGAAATTCATGCAGCTGTTGATTTATGAGAGAAATTTGCGGGGTAAAGATGCCAGGGATCTGCAAAGAATATTAGAATTTTCTCGTTTTTTCCTTAAAAACCGGGTTTTTAACGCTACAATTTGAACAGAAAAAACTTGCTAGAATTTTACTCCTAATTTTATCAAATGAAAGTATTTTACTACGTTATGCTTTAGGCATTTGTTTGGTGGTAGATCATCATTTTCGAACAGTCTCCAGTTTGAGTCAAGGCCGATAGATTTCCGAAGTCCACCGTTCTGCTGCCTAATCCCGTACCTACCTACAGCAGAATCGTCAGAGTGAGTCTTCCAAGTTTTTATGGAAGTTTTTTTTTGAAAAGAAATCTGATTGCGAAGGCAGAGCACACACTGCTCTAGTTCGGATGCGGATATCTGCGATGTGCTTTTTTCTATCGTTGGCTTTGAGCCACATTGTCTTTGAAATGAGAAACGGTCCTACCACGAAAATAGTGTTTTTTAAGGAAAAACATACGTCGTTTGGAATGGTTAGTCCTACAAGCACCTGTGGTTCGTGCATTGATCATCGTGAGCGATATAATCGCTGTGGCTGAAATGCGAGATGGTGCAAAAATGTGAGTAACAATTTAACAACTTTAAAATTGTGATAGACCTGACATGGCATTATGAAAGGAATTTTTGATTCTCTTATTTTGATGTCTAAAATACTGGAATAAATCTGAGGAAAATTCATTGTGGGTAGAGGCCGACTTCGCCTACCTGGCATGGGCTGTAAAATGTAGGAATGCATGGTTTATGACAGATATCCGCTCGAACCCAGTCTGACGGCATAACTTCTTCTACCTATGAATCCTGGTTAAGCAAGGTTGTCAAAAAAATTTTTCCTAATTTTGTAAACGGTTGCGTAGAATATTTGGCCTCAAATAAGCTTTTTTACTCTTTTATTCTCAGCATTACAACAACATCATTTAAAATCAATACTTTTACTCCCTATCAAACCTTTCCATTCAGATTCCTTCGTTATTCGGAGATATGTTCGGTTGGCTCCTTACTTCTTGCTATATTTGGTGTGCATACGCTAGCACGAGTGACTTCGGTAAGAATTTGTATCTTATATCTTACTACATGTCGTAAACTAAAGAATAGTTTTTGACCCTTTGTAATTTTGTTTCTGTAGAAAATCTCATTTTTCAGAATAAGCTTTCTGACTACTGTTTCATGACAATATTTCGATTTGTGGATGTTTCTCTGCTGTTCTTTTCGGCTCAGCAACCCATGATCTTCCAAAATATCCTTCTTCGTTTCGATTTGATTCAGTGCGGCCCTCTACTTACTGCGCAAGAAAACGCTTTCTGTGAGTTACACAATCATTTCTGCCCCCCCCCTATCCCAAAAATGAAAATTTATTTCAGTTGTGTGTAACTTCGTCACTATCTGCGAAATGTTCGTGCTCTGTCTATTAGCTACATTTTTACTCGCTCCACGTCGAAACGCTATGTTCGATTCCTATCGTCTCCTGAAGACGCCGTCGTCGTTGCGTGGAACGGAAGAATCTGATCTGGCCGATCATGACATATGCATCGATTTTGACTCGAATCACATTTGAGCTTTTACTGTTTCAAACAGCTTTCACTCAGGGTCTTCGTCGGCAACAAAGTTGTTTCATTTGAAATCATTTCGGGTTTTGTAGTTGTTTCACCTTGTGCAGACTTTGTCTCCTCTTTTGAATCATTTTCTACTCCAAATTTTTGCAAAATTTTGACTGGTAACAGTATGAAAACTTTATTATGTGATTCAACTTTTGAAACTCTTGGCAGGTTCAATCTCATTTTGAAAACATAATAAGTAGGATATTACATGAGTTGTCATATGAAATGCAGTGCAATAAACATGTGTTCAGGTTTTTAAGTTTTTTTTTCGAATCCTTATGCGCCGACTATAAAAAGGTTTCTGACGATAAACACATGGATATCTGCATAAGATCGGAACGGAATCATGGATGGCTTAGGATCTAATAAGCGTCCTTATGTTACTTTGGAAGGCTTTGATCTTGCACGGTGAGGCAAAACAAAAAATTCGGAAATATGTCATTTTGCGAAAAAAAAAATCCCCTCATGTCCGCAGTTTTTCGGCGAAAACACTTTTTTTTTGCACTTGAAAAAAGGTCGCAAGGCTCTAAATAGGCACTATGTTCAATCTCTGGTTGCAAGCTGTGATTCTGTGGAAAAATTAGAGCGATAAGAGGATCTGACCTGTGAAATGAGAAATTTCACAATTTTTTTGTTTTCGCATTTCCATGCGAGATCAAAGCCTGCTAGAATAACGTATGGACTTTTGCTGTGTAAGTAAATTTTACAGATTTCTTCGTCTAGCTAGCGGATCTCTGCGATTTTCTGCCACCAAACTCAAAATCGCAAAATTTGAAGCCCCATATTTGAGAGCTTCGTTCTCGATGGCTAGCTCATGGAATGTTGTGCTTGACCTTCCATCATGGAGCGTGAGAAATCTGTTATTTTTAGCATACAAGATTGTGAATTTATGTTTAGTCTTTGAAAAGTTATTGAATTTTGTTTGAATTACGCAAGAACTCGTGCCAACCTAATATACAGGGTGTCCCAAAAAATGTGAACACTGTTTGATCGTTAATAACTTCGTTGCTTTCCTGTCTTTCTCCGAGATTGAAGCACCATTGTGTAGAGCGAGGTTTAACTTAGATTTATAGTATGAAGCGAATTACCGATCTCTCTTGTCACTGTAGGAATATGGTGTGAGCTTCCAGCATGCGGATCCTGTGAAAGATGCCATTTGACAAAGTTTTCTTCAAAAAATCTGAAGAATCGTGTACCAGGGTTTTCGCGCACGCTAATTCCACTACACAACTTTGTAGAGTGTTTTTAGTTTTTCTGGTGGTGTAGTCACATTTCTGAGAAGTGCTGGAAATTCAGTTATTACGGTTTACATGGGATAATCTTGGAAAGAAGCATCACAGCAAAATGGAAATTTTATGTTTGAAATCAGCTGCTCCCATTACCATAGCATAAAAGTTTTTGGCCTGTTTGGTTTTGTTCCAAGGAGAATAGGGCCTCCAATGGCCTGAAATCCTTGTTGAAGTTCCTACCGTAATCCTACAGTAATGAACAGCGATTGAGGATTCGCTCCATACTGCACATCTAAGTCAAACCTCGCTCTATAGAATGGTGCCTCAAGCTCGACAAAAGACATGAAAACAAGGGAGTTATTAACAATCAAACAGTGTTCACATTTTTTTTGCGACACCTTGTATATATACAGGGTGCCCCAAAAGTAAGTACACACTTTTCAATCGTTGATATCTCTCTTCCCTTGGGCCTTTTTCCGCCAACCAAGTACGATTCTATAGAGAAGGCTTCAGCTTAGATTTACAGTATCAATTGTAGCTGTTATTACTTACTACTTATTATTATTACTTATTACTGTAATTGTTACTGAGGAACTTCGACAAGGATTTTAGGCCATTGAAAGCCATGTTCTGCCTCGGAACAATGCCAAACGAGCCAAAAACGCTTACAATGTGGTAATGGAAGTCGCTGATTCCGAATGTGAAATTTTCACTTTACTGTGATGCTTCTTTCCAAAGTTATCCAGGTAAACTGTAATACCGAACTCCAGCATTTGTCAGAATTGTGAGTACACCGTCAGAAAAGCTGAAAACACTCGTAAAAACTTGCGTAATGGAATCAGCGTGAGCGAAAGCCCTAGTACACAATTTTTTTCGATTTGCAATTTTTTTGTCAGATGGCATATTTCACAATGGTTCCACATTCTGGAAGTTCTTACCGTAATCCTACAGTAACGAAGAGAGATCGGTGATTCGTTCGATACTGCAAATCTGAGATGAAGCCTTCTCTACAGGGACCCAAGAGGAAAAGAGATATTGACGATTGAAAAGTGTGTACTAACTTTTGGGATGCAATGTGCCTATTGTTTGATTGTTAATGACTCTCTTGTAATGAAGTCTTTGAGAAGTTTTTGAAGCATTTTATAGAGCTGGCTTTAACCTAGATTTACAGTGTAGAACAAACCACCCATCTCTCTTCATTACTGTAGGATTACAGTAGAAAATTCAAAGGGGTATTAAGCCATGAAAAGTCATATTTTGCTTCAGAAAGGAAACAAAACAGCCTGAAAACTTTTACTTTAAGCTAATTGAAGTTGCTGATTCTAGATGTGAGTTCGCAAGTTATCATTATGATGCTTCATTAAAAAGTTATGCGAGGTAAGCAGTAACGGCCGTTTTTCTAAAGTTCCTAGAATGTACGGTCACACCGTTTAGAAATCCTGTATTAGGTTGTCCGGAAATTAATGCCCGTTTTGAATTTCAACCGCAATAAGTCATACACTCCTTCACTTCTAAATAGATAGCAAAGTACCTTTCGATAGAGCAAAGCAAGCTCTACAAGAAGGCCATCTTGCTTTTGCAACAGCTCCCATCTATCTCGAGATTCGAGCCAAAAACTAAAAAGACTCAGCAGCCCGAAAAATCGAAAAAAATCGTAACTCATTTCATAAAAATTTTACAAAAATTCTAATTTGCTCGCATAAACACTATCCACATAAGACATCAATATCGGCCGTTGCCGTATTTTTTTCTCTGTTAGAAACCAAAAAAACGGAAATTTTCGTGCATTTGCCAAAGTGATGCTGTGCCGTCCCCATATAGGTAGTTGTATACCACAAGCCTGTAGAAGTACAGACTTGAATTTTCAGCTCTCTACAAGCTTTAGTTCTCGAGAAGTTTGAATTTTAGCTTGGACCACTTAACTAAGGAAAGCTATATTCGGTATTTCTCGAGAACTAAAGCTTGTAGAGAGCTGGAAATTTAAGTCTGTACTTCTACAGACTTGTGGTATACAACTACCTATGTGGGGACGGCACAGCATCACTTTGGCAAATGCACGAAAATTTCCGTTTCCTTGGTTTCTAACAGAGGAAAAAATACGGCAACGGCATATATTGATGTCTTATGTGGATAGTGTCTGCGCGAGCAAAATAGAATTTTTGTAGGATTTTTATGAACTGAGTTACGATTTTTTTCGATTTTTCGGACTGGTGAGTCTTTGTAGTTTTTGGCTCGAAACTCGAGATGGATGAAAGCTGTTGCAAAAGCAAGACGGCCATCTTGTAGAGCTTGCTTTGCTCTATCGAATGGTACTTTGCAACCCATTTAGAAGTGAGAAATATATGACTTAGCGCGGTTGAAATTTGAAACGGGCATTAATTTCCGGACAACCTAATACATAGTTGAGTATTTAACTCAGCGTCCACGAAAACCTTATCACAAAAGTTCTCACATTTTTTTGAAAACATTTGAAACGGCAGCTTTTTCCACAATGACGCCAAAGACTTGAAGTATTTATCGTAACCCCTCAGTGATGAACAGAGATGGTTAATTCGTTTGTAAACCTAAGTTGAAGCCAGCTCTACAAAATGGTACTCAAAGTTTCTTGAAAGACTTCATTACAAGAGAGTTAGTGACAATCAAACAGTAGGCACATTTTTATGGGACACCCTGTATACTGTAAAGAATACTATCTGAACGACTTTGAGCTGTCACATACCCGCTTTCTGTAGCTGAGACTTGCTAAGCACTTTTGAACCGCAAATCCCCATAATTACTTCAGTTCTTCATATTCCAAATTTTTTTAGAATTAACCTTCACCAAATGGAACCAGCTTTGAATCGTTAAGGTAGAGTGGCACAGGACTGCAGGATGGTTTTTTCATTCAGTTCGATTAGTTTTATTACTTTGAATTATACGACGGACGAGTCAACAGCAAGAATAAACTGAAAGCACCGTACATGAGTCCCTCACGCAAACCCAGTAATCGAAAAATCTGATTTACTAGGAAAATTGCATCGCAGCCCATTTCCTTCAACTCGAAATATTTTCTGTTCTTGTTAGCAGCAGCCAGATTGTAGATTTCCTCTCATGAATGAAGTGGTTGAAAAGCCCAGCCAAAAAAAATTTCTGACTCACACACCAGTTTCTAAAACTTTGCCTTATTTGAGCTTTTGAGGAGCACCATACATCGCATTTCTCATCGTTAGTAATAATGCAAACGTTTCCGACAAGTCAAAGAAAGAGCTAGTTTTTTTAGATCTCTTCCAAAAAAACTTACTTTACTCTACCTGTCACAAGATTAGTTTTCAAAACCGAAAATAACCTCTTTGTGTTTCTGGTGGTAGAGTGATTAGCATGTAATTAGGTTTCCCAACACTTTTGACTTTGATTCTTTTGCAATCGTTTATAATCAAGTTCAATAAGTAATGGTATAAATTCTGATACGCAGAGCGCAAAGAAATTGCTCCACATACGTCCTTAAGTTTCGCAGTGCACTTTGATGGAGTTCTTTCAAATCTCAAATCATTAGGCTGGAAACTAAGTTTGCAACTTTTTTCATAACTTTACTCTCTTAAGATGTGGGGCACTTGAACTTTTTCCAATATGTAGAGGTAATGTTTGCTACTACCGTGCACAAATTTGAATATCGGACACGAATCAGAAAAAATTCAGGCGTTCTTCGAAACTGATGGCAAGAATTTTTGGGGTTGTAAACCGAAATGAAGCCGTTAGTAGTAGCCTAGACTATGCACAAGCAATTGTTCATGAATTGTTGCTAGAGCTAGAGCTTGACTCTTCTCTCGAGCAAGAATCAAGATTTAGGGCAAGTCATACCTTCGATACATAGAGCCACATACTTTGGTGACCTTCACTTTGAGCAATACGAGGGTACACCACAATACCTTCACCAGAATTAAGCAGAAGTCATCCGAAGCAAAGCCCCGGATTCCAAACCCATCCCTATGTCGGAACGACTTTTAATGAAGCAAGTACATTGATTAAAATCTAAGAACATCTTAG